GGCCTTGCCTCTAGACATTAGGATTGAGGAGGGAAGGCAAAGAAAGGGACATTTCTCTTTACCCACCCTAATTGCCTCTCAGGAGAGGGAGGCAGAGAAAGAGGTAGGTTGGTTTGGATTGACCCAAACTGTCCCTCAGGGAGGCCACAAAATGAAGGGAAAGCAAGAAAGCTTGCTGTTTTTTTGACAGTAGGGTCTTTGTGTGTGTGTTGGGGCTGAGGCTGGTGAGAGACAGTCAGCCTTTACAAGGAGCTTTAGTCCTGGTGGGAAGTCCACTACAGAATACAGGAGTCTGGCGGCTGTATGCCAGCTTTCCTCTAGGTGCTTGTCGAAATATAGATTCCTGGGCCCTACCTCAGACATACAGAATCAGAATTTCATATGAATGAAGTGTCCATTTTAATCAAGCTCTCTAAGCAACTTTTGCTTATTAAAGTGAAAAAGTAGAATAAATCTATGATTTTTTTTTTTTTAGAAACTTCAGTAAGCCTCGTCTTCCAAGTGTGCCCTTGCACTGAGGGCTTCATCTGACTTAGGGCAGATTATCCCATACACATTCTGAAGACAAAGCCTGGATCTCAGCAAGAGGCTCAGCGCAGGAGGCATTTGGGTCAGAGGCAAGGTGAGGGTGGTGTGCAAGTGAGGAGAGCAGCCTTGCTGTCTGATGCATTTCTCTGCAGAGCCTCTCTTAGCTCCAGTGCTTGCTCTCTGGTCTCTGCTCATCCTCCAACACTATCTGTGATTTGAACAGCTCACTTTTTCAAGATGGGTCACAGTTTTCTAACCTGGAAAAGAAGGATGTTGGACTAAATCAGGGATTGGCCAACTTGACTGAATCATAATCATCTGGGGAGTTTTGAAAAATAGTTGTGTTGGAGCCCTAACCCCAACCAATAAAATCAGAATTTCTGACTTTAGAACCTGATGATTCTCATGTGTGGCCAGGGATGAGGACACTGAAACCTGATCCTTGAGCTGGGTCTCTGAGCCTTCCCAGCCGGGCAGTAGGGAGAGGGGAAAGGGCTCAATTTCTTTCCTCCACCACCTACTTCCCTATTCCCACTTACTCCAAGGAGAAATCCCACTGGTTAAAGGGCTTTTGAGTTACACTGATAAATACTTTGGCAACACTTTATGTGAAAGATGGGGGCTCTGGTAGCATAATGCCTAAGGCACTTGACTGCTAACCAGAAGGCTGGCGGTTCAAACCCACCAGCCACTCCTCGGAAGAAAGATGGGGCAATCTACTTCCGTAGTGATACTGCCTCGGAAACCCAAGGAGGGGTTGCTATGAGTCGGGTCCGACTCAATGGCACATAACAACAAACAACAACAACATATGTGAAAGATGACTCAAGTTTTGAATCAGGGTGGGCTAAAGCTAAAGGAACGCCAACATTTTCAAGAGACACTATATTTTAGAGGCCTGTGCAATATAACCATATATTGCTATAGAGAAAAAGTGTGGAGGAGGAGACACAAAATCCTACCCTACCAATGCCTCTGGATATTCTTTATCTCTAAATCAGAAGAAAATACAGAGTTGTCCATTAACAGCGGAACTATTTAGAGAATTAAAGCAGGTAAGTTTGTACCTAAAGGGAGAATCCCATGTACAGATAACTTTTCAGTTTAATACTCAGCTGTATAAAACCAGGTTATCTCCAACTCCAGATACTTGTACATAATGCAATCAGTTGAGCAACAAAATCCCATCTAATTTACTTTCCTAAGTCAGCAGTTCTGTAGTAAATTCATTTAACAATGTGTTGACCACTTTATTATTATTTATTATTTATAGGGCCTGAACTGAAACAAAGAAAATATAATGCAATGGAAAAGAACATGGATTTTTGAGTTTGAAATATCTGAGTCTAAACCCTGCCTCTGTCCCTAACTAGTTGTGTGATGTTGGGAAAGTTTAGGTAACTCTCCTAACCCTTCATTTCTTCATTTGTGAAATGAGGATGATAATGCCTACTTCACAGATTTGTTGGGTAGATTAAATGAGATCATTTATGTAAAGAGTTTAATATGGTATCTGACAGAGAGTGGGAGCTCTGATAGCATAGTGGCTAAGACACTTGCCTGCTAACCAGACGGCTGGCGGTTCAAAACCCACCAGTCACTCCTCGGAAGGAAGGTTGGGCAATCCTACTTCCATAGTGATACTGCCTCGGAAACCCAAGGAGGGGTCGCTATGAGTCGGGTTTGACTCGACAGCACATAACAACAACAATGACAGAGAGTAGACACTGAGTAAGTAGCAGTTATAATTAATATGAATACTTTAAAATACAATATTTTCTCAAAAATACATTCAGTGATGTTTCATATGTTATCTCATTTACTTCTCTTAACAATATAGTGAGAAAAACATTATTTAGCCCATTTCATGGATGTTGAGACTGAGGTTTGGGTGATATAACTATTGACTCGATAATAGTGGTTGTGGTTTGGGTTTGCACTCAGGTCTTCTTTCCATTGTACTCTTTATAAAGATGGACAATCCCATTTTAATGAAGTGCCAGGTCAATAAATGTCAGGGACAGCTGTGACATTTAGGGTTACAAAGGAGTTGGAACATCTCAGGGAATGACTGGGGACCTCAAATAATAAAAGAGCTGAATGGTGGATGCTCCATGTACACCAGTAGTGACATTGTTGTTGTTATGTGCTGTTGAGTTGGACCCAACTCCTAGTGACCCCTCTTTGGGTTTCAGAGGCAGTATCACTATGTAAGTAGATTGCTCAACCTTCCTTCCGAGGAGTGGCTGGTGGGTTTGAATCGCCAATCTTCTGGTTAGCAGTAAAGTGCCTTAGGCACTACACTACCAGAGCTCCCCAAAAAATAGCGACGAATGCTGGACAACTCTCCAAATTCATAGATCACCATGTCCAAATCAAGTTCACAGTGCATTCTGTTCCATTTGGGGCTCCTGGCTGAGATCTAAGTATTTTACTCTGAATGTCTGACAGGTGCCTCATGAGTCAGAGTCTTCACTAGCCCTGTAACCAGTACCTAGCAACACTCTATCCCAAAATATGTGAAAGCTAAAATATGTATGCATGTTTGTTGTTGTTGTGTGCCATTCATAGCGACCCTACATAATAGAGTAGAACTGCTTCATAGGGTTTCCTGGAACATCATCTTCACAGAATCAGATCACCAGGACCTTCCTGCAGCAAGTGTGGTTGAAGGGTTCAAACTGCCAACATTTTGGTTAGCAGATGAACACTTAATCAGTTCATTGCCACGGCTCTTATGTATATATACATGCATGCAAAAATCTCAAAGAATCACTATCAAAGAATTTGTAAAACATATATTTTATTAAGACCACCTCCACCAGTGCTCAGAAACAGAGCAGAGCAGAGCAGATGCTGCAGGCATACAGATACAACACACACCCCGTATTTGCTTTGCACAGATACATTCAAACAAGAAGTAACAATGTCTTTATTTGTAGCACATATTTTCATAAGTTTGCATAACACAAAATGGTCACATATGAGCAGGAAGCCAGTGAAAATCAAAGAAATCCTTCCCCATTGAAGATTTCTCTACCCAGATAGGGTCCAGTCCAAGATAAGCTATAGAAGGATATGGAGGTAGAGCATTATTTAATCTCAAAAATAAAAAATAGCATTTTTGTAAGTTATAAAGAGACCATGCAATTAATTTACTTGGGGGTGGAGGGGAGAAAAAACCTTGGGTCCCAATAGATAAATGAGCAAAAGGCAAACCCATATAATTCATATGCAAATACTTTTTAAAAATCTAGAAAATTTTTCTTTCATTTGCAATCAAATATATCTAAAACAGTACCACATTAAACTGAGGTACTATTTCTTTGCCCACAGAATTAGCAAAAGAGCTTTAATTTTTAATGATAATATCAAACACTGATGAGAATGTGGTAGGCCAGACATTCCTACATGCTGCTGATCATAGAAATTAGTACAGACATTTTGAAAAACAATTTGGCAGCAAGATATCCAAAGCCTTAAAAAGGCTGATAGCCTTTGACTCAGTAATTCCATGCCTGGGAATATATCCTAAAGAAGTAAACTGAAGTTCAGAAAAAAATATTTTAAGAACAAAATCATGGAAACCATTTAAATGGTCAGCAATAGGAAAAAAGTGAAGTACTTTATATTCTGATCTGGAATATGATTTAGGTATTTAAAATTATTTTATAAAACTTTTATGATAAATGGGAGAAATATTTCTATATTAAGTTTTGTAACAAGTATATAAATTTGTATATAAAAAATTACCTCAAGTATAAAATGTTTAGAAAAAGGATGGAAAGGAAATGCATCAAACTGCTAGCAGAAGCTATCGCTGGGTGAGGGGATTAGGATGACTTCTTTTCCTTTCTCCTGCTTTTTTGCATTTTCCAATTTTTCCATTACAAAAATATGAATTAAGGAAACACACTTTGACTTTTAGGCTAAGAACAAACTTTATCAACTGGCCTTTATATTATCTGCTTTTCCCAAGTATTCACATCTGCAGAGTCACCAAATATATTCAAGACCAGAAAAATATACCTCAAAGTCGAATGAGGTGAGTACCAAGAGAAGCCAAGGAGAAAAATAACAGGAGATCAATAAACAAAAGGACAAGAGAAACACTTGCTAGCAAAAAGCAAACACACATACAAAAACTCTAATGGAACACTTCCAATCTGGTCCATCACCCTGGGCTCAGCAGCCGAATGGATGAGGAATGGATGACCTTCAAATACAAGTCAGTTTTGAGGATAACCCTCCTTCACACTGTGTATGGACCAGGACACCAAGGCTCACTGAAACTTCAGAATGTAGAAACCAGAGAAAAAGCATGGTGTATGCTGTGTCCTTGGCAAGTCATTGGGTCTTCTCTCATGTTCTTTATACATTTCCAAGTGACTGAGACTCATTCAGATTTGTAGACAAAATATTAATAAAAGCAAAGTTACAAGACTCATGATCATCTTGCAGCTTGACCTTCTCTAGAAATCTAAATCGTCTTGGCCAAATTCATCTGTCCTGTCTACTAACTTGGTAAAGGTGAGGCTTTTAACTATCTTCCTGCCTTCTAAGTCAGGGTTTTCATCTGCTTCCTGGTCTAGAGTGCTTGGGCCTGAATGGGCTCCTTCTTGCTCAGAGGCGGAGCTTTCTAAGTACATCCGAGTGACTTTTCTATCTGGATGAGGGACTTCCTTGGGCTCATCTGCAGTGTTGCTTGTGTCTCCACTGGAATGCTCTTCTTCTGACCCTTTCTGAGAGACCTCTGAACAGTTTCCTAGAGATGAGAAGCTAGAGGAAGAGGTGCCTGTTTCGGAGGCTGACCTTTGGTGGGGTGTGTCTCTACCTGAGGTAGAGAGAGGTGTGGGCCTCCCCTCTTGGTCTGGACTGCTGTTTTCAGAGGCCTCACCCAGCTGACTCTCTTCTTGGCTAACTGGAGAACTATCTTCTTTCTTATCTTCTGACTCTGTCTGTTCCTCTCCTTCAGCTTCCTGAGCCTTGACAGCATCTATTCCATCACCCTCTCTGCCTGAACCTCGCTCACCTTTTCCTGACACTTCACCCTCCAAATTATCCTCATTCCCAGAGCCCTCATTCAAGTTTTCTTCCTTCTCATTCACACCTTGCTCCTCCCATTCTTCTTCCTCCAGATCATTGCCAATGCTGGTATCTGTTTTCCTGTCTCTCTTCTGAGCCCCTGGGTCTTCCTCTCCCTCTTGGTAACTAGCCCCTTCTGCCTCCTTTAGTTCAAGATCTTCAACTCGACTGAGTTTCTGGTTCCCTTCATCCTTATCTCCCTCATCTGACCCAGAACAAAGGCCTAATCCAGGCTCCAGTCCTCCATCAGCTCCCTGGACAGTTCTGGTCCTTGCAGGGGAATTGTGAAGTAGGCCCAACTCTCCATTCTCAAAAGTCCTCTTTGCTGCCTCCCCATTCGTACATCCTTCCTTCTTGTTCTGTAGAATCTGCTGCAAGTCAAAGGCCTTTTTGATTGGTGCACTGCCTGTTCCTATTGTGTCTCTCAGAAATGTGGGGCCCACTTTCTTCCTTATGCAGGCCTCACAGGGGCAGAACTCCTCCTCCTCAGCCTTCCCAGTCAACTCAGTGCCTGGGGTACAATTGAGGGGTATTTCATCCTGCAGGGCGAGGGAGAGGAGTCCACTGACTCGTGTCTGCTCTGTGAAGGCAGAGAGGTTGCGCAGGTCATGGAGGCGGCGCCTCCGCTGCTCTGTCTGCAATGATGTCTCCCACTGTAATGCTTCCCGGAGTGGCTTGGATTCCTTCCTTCCGGCCCTGCTCTGAATCTTCCTGAGTTCCTTCTTAACACTGTCTTGGAGCCGCGAGCTCACATCCTGCTCCAGCTCTGCCACCATCTGATCCAGTTCATAATTGTTCTGCAGACCCCAGCGGGCCCGGATGGTGACCATGGAGTTGGCAAAGTGGGTCATGAAGGCCTTCTCCATCTTCTTCAGCAACTTGAACACCCAGATGGGGTCAGGATCCAGGGACACTCTGTGGGCAATGGAGCTGTTCTTCTCCCCAGCCCCTTGAGTGGAACTGACCTGGGTTTGTTCCCTGGCCATCTCAGCATTTCTGGGCAGCTTTTTCAAATCAGGCTCACATGTGGGACCACTTTGATGCTCACTGACATGAGAGTCACTCTCACTGGGGTTAGTGCAGGACTCTGTTAGTTTATTGCTCATCTCTGGAGGACACAGGTCTACAGAATCAGGGTCTCTTCCTGCTTCCTCTTTCTGCATTTTCATATCTTCCTGTGTGCCCTCTCCATCCTGAGTATCATTCACTGATAATTCCTGTTCTTTGATGCTTTTCTCTTCTGGAAACTCTTCCTCTTTACTTTGCTCTTCTGGCATTTCTTCTTTTTCTATTTCTTCTTTTATTTTCTTTTCTTGTACCCCCTCTTCATGCACTGTGTTTTCAACTAATTGGTCTAGGCTATTGCCCAACATCTGTTCCCTGCTATTTTCTCCTGCTTCATCCTGGCTTGTGATACAAGCCAAAGCTTGAGAGTTTGAAGAGGCTTTAGAACAGCTCAGGTGTTGGTTTCTCAGATACTCTGGGTGCTCTGAGGTTCTGGAGTCAGGCCTCTGATAGGAAATGATGCCCGTCACCACTTTCAAGGGCAGCTCCATTCTCTCAGAGGTCAGGGTGCATTCCACAGGACAAGGCCCACTGCCCTCCCCAGAGCCTCCAGAACCACTGCTGACATCCACTCCTGAGGAGGATGTTGGGGTGAAGTCCTCAGTCACAGCGTGAGATGTAAAACCTGGCAGAACCTGGCATGACCTGATCTCCTGGTGGTCCAAATCCAATTCATTACACGGTGGCCACAGGGATTTAAAGGTAGCTAGGAGCTCCTGGAACTGAGGGGAGTCTGTGAACCTCACTTTGGAAGGAGACCCAAAGTCTTTATCAAAGAAGTGGAGCCTAGCAAGACAAGTGATGAGGGCACAGGCAGAGTGGCTGAGCCTCTGCCCCACCACACTAGACACTTCAGGCAGGCTGCTGGGCCGGCCCTGCTTTGAGCTGATCAATGTCTTCATGATCTGTATGGAGGCAGGAATCCTGCTGGGCAAGACACCCTCACCCACACCATGGCCCACTATGGTTCTATTGCTGGCTCTGGCCTCTGCACATGCATCTGAAACATATCTGGAAGCTTCTCTTTGAGAAAGAGCCTCCTCTGATTTGGAGCTAGCATCATCAGTCACTGGCGGTTCGTATAGTTCTGGTCTGTCACTGGTTTCCCCTTCCAGGGGCTGTTCTCTGGACTGTGCTAACTCCCCAAGATCTTCCAGAGATTGCTTATAAACAGGGTCATCCTGGGTAGTTTCTGGGCCATTTCCAGCCACATTTGGGCTCTCTTCCATCATTTCATATTTCAGGAGTATGGGGTCTTCTGGTATGTGGCTAAGCCATTCATAGACAAGGATTTCTGGTGAGATGTGGGGCAGAGCACTAAGCATCATGACACTATCTTCTTGCTCCTCAAGGTTTTCCTCTTCACCAGAAATCTTCCCCTGTGACATCCCACTGGGGCTGGGGCTGCTCCTCCTAGTTGCTCTGACTGTTCTCTCTGTGGCCCTTGATTTTGAGCCCAGGGACAGTGTTCTTAGTCCATTAAGTTGTTCTTCCCCCTGCTCACCTCCACCTGGCCCCCAGTCAGCACTTTGGTTGATATTGCCATTGCTGCTGCTGCTTGAAGAGTGTTTCTTAATGAAGGATTGTCTCCTTGGGGGTGTGGGGCAGTACCTGCTGCATTTCAAGCAGGCCCCAGAGATAGGTTGTGGCCTGTCCTGTGACTGGGAAGCCTGGAGAGCCAGCATTTTACCACCATGGGTCATGCAGACCTGGGATGTATCAAGCTGGGAACAGCAGCTGCCTCGGTGGTCTCCTAATTTCACTCTGTCAGGCCATTTAACTGGCCGAATCAAGGGTGAGGAGAGCTTGGGAATGTTGCCTCCTGACTTTTTATCCAGGTGACCAGCCCTAACATAAGAACTGAAGGAGTCTGATGTGTTAGAAGGTGTTGGGGCTGATGAGCTCACCTCGAGATCAGGGTTCCCATCACTCTCAGCAGAGGTGAAGTGTGGGTGGTAGAAATGAGAAGCACAGTTTCTTTTTTGTGGATCTGAATTACTAACAGGTGTAATGATGGCACTGATGACTGCTGGTGGGTTCTGGGAGTGAAGAGAGCCAGAGGAGGGAGATCCTGGGTCCTTGGAGACCTGTTTCCTGGCACTAGATGAGTTTTCAGGAAAACCTTCTGTTGAGTCATCTGAGCAGGCCCTTCCTCTATTAGCAAGACTCAATGCTTGCTTGGTTGTCACTGAGTCCAGTAAGCAATGGCTGAGCCTTTGGTGGTGGTGCTGCCTGTGGCAACTTCTCTGGGAAACACTGCCAAAGCCAGAAATATTGGGTAAGGATACAGCACTAGCTTGGCTCTTCTGCTTTCTCCTCCTCCTCTGGACTGAGGCACAGGAGGAAAGTGGGAAAGAGCATCCTTCAGCATCCCATGAGCGAGAGTGGCCCAAAGCCATGGGCAGCCTTTTCACAGACCCACATCTGGCCTTGTGGCTCCCAGTGCTCTGTCCACTCTCCTCTGCCTGTAGGTCTCCATTCCCTAAAGATGAGGGATGCAAATCACGGCAATAGGTGCTGCCTTCCTGGGTGTGCTCCTGCTGCAAAGTCACAGTTTCTCTCCTTCTTACACAGCCCCAGCACAGCTCACTCCTGTCACTGGGCTGCTCAAGAAACATGGAAGTCACTGATGAGTCAGGAAGAGCACCCTCTATGCCACAGGGACCAGGTTCCAGGCAACCCAGTGACAGTGCTTCTTCATTCTCCTCCTCTTGGGCTTGTTGCTCCCAGCTACCCTCTGCTCCTTTTGGACATGAGTTGGGTCCCAGGTTTGGGCTCCTACCAGCCTGAGGTATGCAGCCAGCTTCCTGCTCAGCTCCTCTCTTGGAGGCAGCCCTGGAGGCCTGATGCTCCCTGCAGCTGCCCATGCTGCCCTCCAGGCTCCTGGGGCAATAGGAATTTGGCTCTGAGCCTGCTGCAGGTCTGTCATTGGAGGCTGAGCTGACACTGGCCTTACTGGTTCTTTTTCTGCTGGCAGCTCCTTGGCTCCAGGAAGGCCTGGAGTGCTGGGTGAGCTGAGCCCTCTTCCCAGAATCTATTTCCTCTACCTGGGACCTGTACAGGGGGTTTGTCCAGATCTCATAGCTGGGCCATGCTTGCTGGCCTTGGTTAAAGGCCTCCTCACCTCCCGACTCACAGGGCTTCAGTCCCAGTGCCCCAGGCTCTGAGAAGCTACCAGGGCTGCCCTTCCACACACAATGTAGGTGGTCTACCTCCCCTTGGTCAACACGCTCCCCACTTGCTGTCGTGAGGGTGCTGGCCCTCCTGACCCCCGTGGACCATAGGAGTGTGTCCTCGTTGAACAAGTGGAAACGGACTTTCATCTCCACAGACAGGCTGCCATCCTCGTTCATGTGGACCTTCTTCTCAAAGTCATTATCAGCCACCAAAGGGCCAGTGTGGACAGGTGTATCCCGTGGGTGCCAATGAAGGGCAGAGCCCATCCAGGTGTGATGCAAAGACACTGATGGGTCACTGAGACCGGACTTCTCCGACAGCAAGGAGAACCGCCGTGATCTGCTGCCTGACTTGGACCTCGAGTGGATAATACTCTGCTTGGTCTTCAGCCCCCAGCTCCCTGGTGCACAGCAAAGAGTAAGAGAAAAGAGGAAAAATGGTAAGCAACCATCGTGGTAAAAGCATGAAGGCTGGTCACCAGCCTTTCACCACCCAACACTATCATCACCTCCAAAACAGCAGGAGGGCAGAATATATTCTACAAAGAATATCCACAGAGCTTCTAGTTTGTGAACCATCATAGCTTAATGAGATGAGCATGAAGTATGAATTCAATCCCAACTCTGCCACTTAATAGCTGTATAGCTTTAGGCAGACCCTGTTTCCTGAGTTGTAAAATAAGAATATCTATTTGGTAGTGTTTTGTTTGTTTGTTTGTTTGTTTAAATGACTTGAAGCTATATATGTAAAACTTTCTGCAGTTTCTAGCACACAGTAAGTTCTGGACAGCAAAGATGACAGGCAGAACAGCAGTGCCCAGAGCTAACTCCTATCTCTTCTCACACCACCCCCAGCAAAGAAGGGGTAATCAATAACCCGGTGCACATGAACTGATTGTAGGCTGTAAAATGCTTTGCAATGATTAGAAGTGATTTATTATCCTAACACTCATCAAGATCTTGGGTTGATAAATGATTTCAAGTAAGAGCCTGCAGATACCATATTGGGTCCTGACATTCAGGCCTGCAACCCAATCCATGAAAAACGTAACAGGCCACTTGGGAATAGAAAGTAACCTTAATAAGGAATGAAGCCCATTGTGCTTTCTCATCTCACCTCTTGAGCTAATGTTTAGTAAGAGGGAAACCAAAAACCAAACTTTCTGCCATCGAGTAGGTTCCAACTCGTAGCGACCCTCCTTGGGTCTCCAAAGTGGTGTCTCTTCAGAAGTGGGTTGCCTAGTCCTCCTTTTGAGGAGTGACTGGTGAGTTTGAACTGCCAGCCTTCTGGTTAGCAGTCAAATGCCTTAGGCACTACAGGAAGTGCTAGCAAAAGCTGAGTCTATGACCACCAAAAGAACAGATTGCCTTTGAATGCATCTGGGTGGGAGAAGGCTTTGCAGAGCCCTGATATTCCATAAGTGCCAAACCAAAGAAGGCACTGTGTGGCTAATGTGTCTTTGCACCTCTAGTACATGGCATGGAGCAATCAAAAAAATTATTGGTATTTTCTTAACAGCTTTTTACAAAGGATATTACTTTGTTCACTCACCAAAATGCCCAGTGCCACTTGCAGTAATTTTCTTCAACTTTTATTCTGCACTTTTTGTATTTGTGTGTGTGTATATATATATATATATATATATATATATAGTGTGTGTGTATATATATATGTATATATATATATATAGAGAGAGAGAGAGAGCGCTCTGGTAGCGTAGTGCCTAAGGCATTTGACTGCTAACCAGAAGCCTGGCGGTTCAAACCCACTAGCCACTCCTCAAAAGGAAGGTTGCATGATCTACTTGTGTAGTGATACCGCTTCAGAAACACAAAGAGTGGTCGCTATGATTTGGGTCTGACTCGACGGCATATAACAACAACAACATATATAGAGAAATAGATAGATAAAACAACGACACACTGCTGTTGAGTCAGATCTGACTCATAGCGACTCCTCTTTGGGTTTCCTAGATGGTATCACTTTGGAAGTGGCTTGCCCAACCTTCCTTCTGAGGAGTGGCTGGTTTTGAGCTGTCAGCCTTCTGGTTAGTAGTGAAATACCTTAGGTACTATGCTACCAGATCTCTCATATATACACATATATATACACATATATGTATAGACCCAACCCACTGCTGTCGTGTTGGATCTGACTCATGGTGACCCCTCCTTGGGTTTCTGAGGCAGTATCACTATAGAAATAGATTGCCCAATATTCCTTTTGAGGAGTGGCTGGTGGGTTTGAACCGTCAGCTTTCCAGTTAGCAGTCAAATGCTTTAGGCACTATGCCACATATATATGCAAATTTTGTATGTATTATATATATAAAACCAGATTTGGTTATATATTTAATGCATATAATATATCTGGCACATAATAGGCATATTGGATGGATGTATGGTTGGATGTACGGAAGACCAAAGATTTTTAGTTTTAGTCCTTTCAATCTCTCTTTAGTCCTCCATTGTTGTCTAAAAGAGTACTGACTCTTAAAAGACCTGGACAAACAATATCAGGTCCTGTTATTCAAGTGGGAGCTCTGGTGGCATAGTGCCTAAGGCTAACCAGAAGGCTGGCCGTTCAAACCCACCAGCCACTCCTCAGAAGGAAGGTTGGGCAATCTACTTCTGTAGTGATACTGCCTCGGAAACCCAAGGAGGAATCACTATGAGTTGGATCCGACTCAACAGCAGTGTTTTGGTTTTTGGTTGATATTCAAGCCTGCACCCCCAGCCATGCAAGTGTTATATGCCCATGGTCCATTGCCTCCATAATGTCATGTCCTCTATAAAGGTTATTTTAGAACCTACAAACTTAGAGCTGATGATCTTCTAATTTCTAGTTCCTTTACGTACCATACTCCTCATACCGCAGTGAGATAACCAACCTAGTTAAAGTTGATCAATGAAAAGGAGGAAGATGAGACAGGAGCGACCCAAAATCAACTGAGATAACCAAGAATTAGGCCAAAGGCAACAAACTATCTGGAAGCAATTATCTGCCCATTCAATGCAAATAAGATTTTGGGGGAAATAAACAAAACTAACTCACCATTTTTGTTCCTTGAAGTCAGCCCAGATAAAGTTTCAGTCCCATTTCTTTTGGAATCTTCCATTGAAGGAGGTCTGAATGACTCATGACCAGCACATACTAGTACCAACGGGCTGTTCAGCAAATTCTGCAGGGAATCCACCTGAAGAAGAGAGTGTGGAGTTAGGTGTCCTGGTCTCCAGAACTAGCTCCTTCCCAGGAAGACACAAGCAGATGATTAACCCACTGCCTCCAGCCTCTTCCTGAGTTTTGCATGGCTCAACCCAGATTCCTGATCCAAGGGAAGAATTCCACTCACTCCCTGAAACACCTCCATCATTAGTTGAGGGCTGAGGTCCACCACAATGATTTTCTCTCTAACTACATCCTTCTCTCCACTAGATATGAGGCTGTGATTTAGAATTTACACTGGGTGCCTCAGATAGAAAAGACATTAAAAAGCCTGTTAGCCTACCTGCCTTCCTACATGTTCATTTATGTAGGAATATTTGGTTTTTAAAGCAGAGAAGAAAGCCTTCTAGCTTCTGTATGGAGACCTGATTCACTATCTCACTATCTACTCTTTTCCAAAGTAGAGAGTCCTCTCTTGTGTCTGACCTATGTTTTCCAGTTCAGTCGAGGCCATTGCCTCTATTTCTGCCCTTAATGGAACAAAGAGGGGCAGGCACCATTCTCTTCATAAGTAGCCCTTCTCTTCCAGGCTCCTTCAATAATTCTCTAGGATCCTGCCCAGATACTTTGCCATGTTCTCACTCTCACCTGCTACTGCCCTCTTCAGCAGGATGTTCACCAGCCCACTGCTAGGCTAGGAGTAGAGTAGGAAAACAGTGCTGGATTCCATGCCAGGAAAAAGATCCCTGCTTTTAGAATATCTCACCTGGTGCAAGAAGCCCCTGTACATCTGAGGTTTTCCACTATTTATAGCATTACACTGTAGATAGCAGTTGTTAGGTGCTGTTGAGTTGGCTCCAACTCACAGCAATCCTATTGCCAAAGGGGCAGGGAGGCTGCATTTTCTGACCTCCTCTAACTCCACAAAAGATGAAGACAGAATCACCATCAATAGCTCATCAAGGCCTATGAGGTGAAACATGCTGCCTCCTTCCAGCCCTTTCATGAACCCTGACAGCAACCGTTCCTCCCACAGCACCCACCACCTTTCTGCTGGATTCAATAATTCACTTCAGTGGCCACACAGAACTCACAGCTTATGGGGTTTATTAAGGAAGCACCAGGTTACAATTCAAGTTCAGAGATAACGCTCAGTCTCTCTCAGCCAACAGTCTCTCTCAGTCTCTCTCCCAGCAGTGTGTGTCTCTCGATGTGTGTGTTTCTCTCAGCAATGTGTGTCTCTCAGTGTCTCTTCTCAGCAGCGTGTCTCTCAGGATCATGTTTCTCTCAGCAGCACATCTTTCTCAGCCAGTAGTCAGAGAGACTCCTTCTGTCTCTAGGAGGGCTCCTTTTGAGCCTGGCAGAGTGGGCAAACTAACCAATCATTACATCAGAATTCTAAGCAGCTGAGAGAGAGCAAACTTCCCAGAACATTGCTTTGTGGCACTCGCAACAAAAATATCCCAGGTGGATAACTTTAACAATCAGGAGCTCCTCAGTTGCTCACAGCAAATACCACCTTGGAGTTTACAAAGGCTTATGGCTAGAAAAGCCATAACAGATACTTTACTACACCACACCTATGTAAAACAACAAAACACTGCCCAGTCCTGTGCCATTCTTGTAATAATTGCTATGTTTGAGCTCATTGTTGCAGATAATGTGTCAATCCATCTCATTGAGGGTCTTTGCCCTTTTCTCTGGTCCTCTGCTTTACCAAGTCTGATGTTCTTCTTCGGGGACTGGTCCCTCCTGATAACGTGATCTAAATATGAGAGACGAAGTCTCACCATCTTCACATTTAAGAAGAAGGCTTAGGTAGGGGTTATTTCCATCTTTAAAATGTAGAATATATTGTTTTTCATTTTCTTAAATCAGAAGGGTGCATTCATTAATAAGGACATGAAAAAAGAGAAAATTTTTACACCATCTTCCCAAAACATGGCATATAAGTTTATTGTACACCAGAGCTTTCAATATATTTATTACAAGTTTGTTTTAAGCTGGCAGTTAACTTTTGCTGATTTAGATTCCTAGTCCAGCAAAAAAGCCAAACATGATCCAAGTCTATCAATGTATAGACATAGCCATGCTACTAAAGAATCAGACTCTCCAGGAAGAGAAAGGAATTGAGAACTAAATGATGTTCCCATTTTTAATTGTAAAACAATATTTCACCAAAATTGGAAAAGGTCTAGGATCCACGATGAAAGATCATTATTAAGGTTACCCATCAGCAGAGTGTGTGAAAATTAATAATCATAACATAGCCCTTTCTGGGGAGCAGTGAGATTATTATGTTTGCAGAAACTTTAGTAGCCCTCCAGTAAGTCTATATGAAAAATAAGGTGAGAACCCTAATATCTCTTTCTCCAATTAACTGTACCTGCTCTCTCTCAATACACTCACTAACCTGTGAGCTAATTGAAGATAGGGATCTAGCCCTATTTGTCTGTATACTCTGTACATAGCACATGCTTAGCACATGGCAGTTGCAGAATTATTCAGAAGTATTATTGTATAGTGACTTTTAAATAATTAATGCTGACTCTCCAATTTTTCAGCCATAATACAACTATAGGTAAATGACTTAATCTCTTGGCTTTAATTTTCTCATCTATAAAATGGGATAATATTAACTTATACCCATTTTAGAAGAGCTCTGATGGTGTAGTGCCTAAGGCATTTGCCTGCTAACCAGAAAGCTGATGTTCAAATCCACCAGCCACTCCTCAGAAGGAAGGTTGGGCAATCTACTTCCGTAGTGATACCACCTCAGAAGCCTAAGGAAGGGTTGCCATGAGTCGGATCCAACTCAATGGCAGTGCATACCCATTTTAGAGATGAGAAAGTTTTATGAATAGTGGTGAAACTGCTTGATATAGTCCTGGAAGATGAGCGCCTCAGGGTGGAAAGCACTTGAAATGTGACTGGGGAGGAGCTCCCTCCTCAAAGTAGAATCGACCTTATTGATGTAGATGAAGTAAAGCTTTCAGGACTTAATTTGTTGATGTAGCACAACTCAAAATGAGAAGAAACAGCAAACATTCATTAGTAATTGGAACATGGAATGTATGAAGTATGAATCTAGGAAAATTACAAGTTGTTTAAAAAATGAAATGGAACACATAAAGATCAACTGCCTAGGCATTAGTGAGCTGAAATGGACTGGTATTGGGCATTTCGAATCAGGTAACCCTATTATCTACTATGCTGAGGATGACAAATTAAAAATAATTGGCATCACATTCATTATCAACAAGAACATTTCAAGATCTATCCTGGAATACAATGCCCTCAGTGATAGAAAAATATCTATACATCTGCAAGTAAGACAAGTTAATGGAACTACTATTCAAATTTGAAGAAATTAAAGATTTTTACCAACTTCTGCAGTCTGAAATGGACCAAACATACAATCATGATGTATTGGTTATTACTAGTAATTGAAACATGAAAGGTAGAAACAGAAAAGAAGCATCAGTAGTTGGAAACTATGACCCTGGTGAAAGTAATGCTGCCAAAGACGACTTAATAGAATTTTGCAAGACCAATGCTTATTTATTGCAAATACCTTTTTTCAACAACATAAATGGTGACTACACATGTGGACCTCACCAGATGGAATACTCAAGAATCAAATAGACTATATTTATGGAAGGAGATGGTGGAGAAGCTCAATATCATCAGTCAGAACAAGGCTAGGAGCTGACTGTGGAACAGACCATAAATTTCTCATATGCAAGTTCAAGTTGAAGCTGAAGAAAATTAAAACAAGTCCATGAGGGAGAAAATAATAATAATAATAAAAAAAAAAACCTTTGATTTTATCTCATCTGAATTTAGAGACCTTCTGAAGAATAAATTTGACACTTTGAACAACAATGACGGAAAACCAGATGAGTTGTCAAAAACCAAAAAACAAGACTTACTGCCATCGAGTCAGATCCAATTCACAGTGACCCCTCCTTGGGTTTCTGAGGCGATATCACTACGAAAGTAGATTGCCCAATCTTCCTTCCACAAAGTGGCTGGTGGGTTTGAACCACCAGCCTTCTGGTTAGCAGTCAAGTGTCCTTGGCACTATGCCATCAGAGCTCCTAGATTGGTTGTAGGATGACATAAATAACATCATACATGAAGAAAACAAAAGGTCATTAAAAAGACAGGAAAGGAAAAAAACACCAAAATGGATGTCAAAAGAGATTTTCAAACTTTTTTTTTTTTTTTAAATGGAGAGTAGCTCAAGCAAAATGGAAGAAACAATGAAGTAAAAGAGCTGAACAGAAGATTTTAAAGGTTGGCTTGAGAAAACAAAGGGAAATATTATAATGAAATGTGCAAAGACCTGGTATTAGGAAACCAAAAGGGAAGGACATGCTCAGCATTTCTCAAGCTGAAATAACTGAAGAAAATAAGAAAATATTCAAGTCTCAAGTCGCAATATTGAAGGATTCTAGGGGCAAAATATTGAATGAAGCAGGAAATATCAAAAGAAGATGGAAGGAATACACAGAGTCACAATACCAAAAAGAACAAGTTGACATATTACCCATCTCAGGAGGAAACATATGATCAAGAACCAGTGATATTGAAGGAAAATGTTCAAGCTGCACTGAAGGAACTGATGAAAATTAAGCCTTCAGGAATTGATGGCATACCCATTGAGATGTTTCAACAAATGAATGCAGCACTGGAGGCACTCACTCAGGTATGCCAAGAGATTTGGAAGATAGCTACCTGGCCAACCAACAAGAAGTGATCCATATAGGTGCTCATTCCAAAGAAATGTGATCTAAATGTGATCTAACAAGAAAGCAGAAATTATTGAGCAATATCATTAATATTACACATGTATGGTCAGTGACTACAACACCCCAAAAGTGGTCTTAAACCCCATCACATTTAGCTGTGCTTGTAAGAAACTGCTAGCCATTCTCTTCTCCCTTTCTGTCACATTTTGATCACCTCCTCCCTGTTAGGGATTAACCTTCCTATTTAGCTGTTGTTGTTGTTGTTATGTGCCGTCGA